AAATGTAAAGAAGCAGTAATAAGATCTAAGACATGAAGTAAAAATGTAAAGAAGCAGTAATAAGATCTAAGACATGAAGTAAAAATGTAAAGAAGCAGTAATAAGATCTAAGACATGAAGTATAAAATGTAAAGAAGCAGTAATAAGATCTAAGACATGAAGTAAAAATGTAAAGAAGCAGTAATAAGATCTAAGACATGAAGTAAAAACACATTAAACAGTAACGGTACAAACAGCAGCACGAACATGAGTCTGAGTGAGAGATGAGCACGACTCAACACAGCAGCATGAGATAAATAAACCTGCAGGCGGTTCTGCCCTCTGACATTTTCTGATCCGGTTGGTGCACATGAAGACCTGCTGGACCTGTACTGGAAATCCAAACCAGCGTACCGGGTCAGGTTTTACACAAACTTTGGTTCTGATGATTCATTTGTTGAGTTTCAGCCACTAAAGAGTTAATAAATAAAAATCTAATATTTGTCCTCTTTGTTTGTTGGGTCGGTGCAGCTGACCGGTTCTGGTTCGGTCCAGTTTTAGAGCTGAAGTAAATGTCTCTCATGGTTCTGTTGGTCCAACTGGTCGGAGCTGTTTTACTCTAATGAGCAGCAGGACTTCTGGGTCCTCTTCAGGTCGGGTCAGAACTCAAGGATCAGCTGGAGAGGATTATTAAAACCCAAAGTCTGAACCAGACCTCAGTGGTTCTGGTCAGAGTGGCCCGTTTGGACCTCTGTGGTGTCTTCATCCTTTATAACAGGATGTTACAGCAAACAAGTTCTGTTCTGGTTCTGCTGGGCTCCTGGTGGTCATGATGTGTGATGGAGGTCAGCTGACCGACAGGCAGGACTCACATGCGCACCTCGTGCAGTCAGAAGTTCTGAACTCTGCTCTGCCTGCTGGTTCTGCTGGGAACAAAAATACTCCTGGTGTCCCAATCTGTCTCTGTCTGTCCCGGAGACAGAGTGTCCAAAATGTCTCTAAACGTTTACAAAGGTTCAGTTTCTCTCACCCTGAACATCTCCAGAGTGGAACAAGGTCCAGCTCCTCAGAAGGAGGTTGGTTCTGGAGCCCAGCTGCATCTAATAATAATAATAATAATAATAATAATAATAATAATAATAATAATAATAATAATAATAATAATAATAATAATACATCTTCTTCCTCTTATCCGGGGTCGGGTCGTGGGGGTAGCAGCCTAAGTAGGGAGGCCCAGACTTCCCTCTCCCCAGCCACTTGGTCCAGCTCCTCCGGGGGAATCCCGAGGCGTTCCCAGGCCAGAGAAACATAGTCCCTCCAGCGTGTCCTGGGTCTTCCTCTGGGCCTCCTTCCGGTAGGACGTGTCCAGAACACCTCACCAGGGAGGCGTCCAGGAGGCATCCTAACCAGATGCCAGAGCCACCTCAACTGGCTCCTCTTGACGTGGAGGAGCAGCGGCTCTACTCTGAGTCCCTCCCGGATGATCGAGCTTCTCACCCTGTCTCTAAGGGAGAGCCCAGACACCCTGCGGAGAAAACTCATTTTGGCCGCTTGTATCTGAGATCTTGTTCTTTCGGTCACAACCCAAAGCTCGTGACCATAGATGAGGGTGGGAACGTAGATCGATCGGTAAATTGAGAGCTTCGCCTTTTGACTCAGCTCTCTCTTCACCACGATGGACCGGTACAGCACCCGCTTCACTGAAGACGCTGCACCTATCCGCCTATCGATCTCACGCTCCATTTTTCTCTCATTCGTGAACAAGACCCCGAGATACTTGAACTCCTCCACTTGAGGTAGGACCTCCTCCCTGACCTGGAGAGGGCACTCTACCCTTTTCCGGCTCAAGACCATGGCCTCGGATTTGTAGGAACTGATCTTCATCCTGGCCGCGTCGCACTCGGCTGCGAACCGCTCCAGCAAAAGCTGTAGATCACGATCTGATGAAGCCAATAAGACCACATCATCTGCAAAAAGCAGAGATGCAAGTGTTGGATTGTATACCTGGATTATTGAGCGTGGACTTTGTTGTTTCCTTACTAGTCTACCTGTACACTCATCTCCAGGCCAGAGGTCACTCTTTCAGGGATGAAGATGTTCACATCCTGGACAGAGAGGAACGATGGTTTGAGAGAGGAGTAAAGGAGGCCATCTTTGTGAAAAGAAACCGTCCATCATTAAACAGGGGCGGAGCCTCCAGGTTCAACTGTCCCCCTCTTACAATGCTGTGATTGCTAGTATCACTCAGCCCTCTGTGAACAGTAAACAGCCATCAGGTGCTAATGATCCATTGTTAGGCTGATGGTCCTTCTTGATCATGTGATCAGCTGGTTCTGGTTGTCAGCAGCAAACTGGTTGATCCACTCTGAGAAGGTGCTATTTAAGAGACTGAGCTGAATACAGTACCTCAGACTGAGGAAGTCCTCAGGATGAGAGATGAAACGTTTCTAGATTTTTTTGTTGTTTTTTTTTTTTTTTTTGAATGTCCAGAGGACCAGATTTAACTTTTTATTGAGCATGCATCAGGATGTTTTCTTACTAGGTTTTCCACGTGAAGTTTAAAAGAGAGAAGCGAGTCGACCAAGAAACCCAGATGTTTACAGGAATCGACAAACTTTCGGCCTCTGTTGTGACTTGGCCCTTTATAAATAAACTGAACTGAATTGAATTCCAGTCCACACTGGTTTGTCGTCCACACTGGTTTGTCGTCATTATCTGCATCGTTTTTATGTCTATATTCTGATTTACCTCATTTTGTGTTTTGCTTTGTGTGTTGCCTGTTGTTCTGTCTGTACAGCACTTTGGTTGGTCTTGTAGCTGTTTTAAGTGCTCTATAGATAAAGTGGTGTGGTAAGTTCGGTCCAGTTGAACGTTGTTTGATTTTGTTGCAGTTGCCACTCCGTCCAGCAGGGGGCGCTGCTGCCGCGTCAGACGGTGCTTCGGTTGGATATGTGTTGCCAGTTAAACGATAAATAGGTTTTGAAAAACAACAGTTCCGTTTATAAAATACCACAACTTTTATTTACATGAACACCCACAAATTATCGTATTATCCGGACCAACCACACCGTGTGCTCTACAGGCGCGCGACCCCCATTTTTTCCTGTGCGCATGCCCAGTCCCTTCACCTACACCCGGATGTACGAAACTTCGTCATTTCCTATCTGGCACTCCCGGCTGGGCGGATGGTAACTGTTATGGCGGTGTGTAGGTTAATCTGCTGCCATCCTACATTATTGATAAGTTATCAGAAGTTAACACCTCCCAGGTTTCCTTCAGAGAAAGAACTTGGTTAATGTGTGCGGGTTTTGTTGAGTGAAAGTTGTTTAAAGCCTCTTATTTTCCACCGGAAACGACCATCAGCGTGTTTTCTCCAGCTAAAGATGGCGCCGCAGGTAACTCATTGATTTATTGATCAACTGATCGTTTGGTTTTTTGTGAACTGCAGACGGTTCCAGCGAGGCCGAACCTGCTGTGGTTCTGTCCTTTCCTGCACAGTCTGCTACAGAACCGAGGGGCAGTTTGAGGCCCTGCTGGGGGTCCACCTGGCAGGGTTTTAGGTAACCCCCCAACAAGAACCCGTGCCATGTGAGACCAGAGTCCACTCGTCCTGGTCTCAACCTGATCCACTAACAGATTTTTGGTTCTGTGAGGTTCTGAGTGAAATCTTGGATTTAAAATTATTTTTTGTCTCCTCAGTTTCCATGACGACGGAGCGGCAGCAGCTGAGGAGAAGCTGAAGTTGAGACGGTAATTTCCCATTGTTCCCATCGTTCCCATCAAAGCTGCGTGCAGACGGTTCCAGCGAGGTCGAACCTGCTGTGGTTCTGGCCTTTCCTACACAGTCTGCTACAGAACCGAGGGGCCGTTTGAGGCCCTGCTGGGGGTCCACCTGGCAGGGTTTTAGGTAAACCCCTGACATGGACTCCAGGAGCCACTGACTGGACCTTCTGCGCCTCAGTTTGCTCATTAAAATGTCTCTGCAGGAAGAAGTCCAGGCCGACTGATGGACCTCCTGCTGGGTCCGGGTTCTGCTGGGTCCTGAAGCTGGATGAGACGTGGCTGCAGCTGATCGTTCTCTGCTTCTTCATTTTCTCCAACTAAAGAATCTTTAGACTGAAAGAAGTTCCTGTTAATTCACTGATTAAAGGTCAGAGGATGTTTGATCTGCTGCTGCGCTGCAGGACTGACCTGAAATAAAACTTTTTAATAAAATATTAAAACT